TCTGAGCTGTCAATCAATTCTGAGAAATTCACAGTTGTAAATTCTTACTAGTCTTTTTCTAAGTTCACGTCGCACTCGCAATTGGTTCGCATATTTTATCTAGGAAAGCAGGTATGCCCTAAGTCATAGCATTTGTAGGTTAAGTATAATAATAACAAACATGCTTATCGTAGGTTTGTAGGCATACTTGTTCAAGAATATGCCATGGTAGGTTTTGTTTATAAATTTTATTTTTTAATTCTTGTCGAATGACGATATTGATTTGTATTTGTGCGAAAATGTTAATTTATTTGTCAAGGGCATGAGCGGCCCTCTAGTCTATGTACCGGTATGTTACATAAAGCAAAACATGAAAAAGAATAAATTAAAGGAAGGTAAAAAACGGATCAGTTGCTGAAGGTCTAATCAGACCTTCGACACTTATTTTGCAGTTTGTACTTGATGCTGAGGATCCCATGAATCCTGTACAAAATAAAAAAAAAATGTTTCATTCAAACTACAAGTTTATTACTTTTCCGAGAACCAGCCTTTATCAGGACTTCCGCTCCCACGCTAGTTGGCAACATCAACTGTGCTATATGAAAACAATAAATCTTGAGTAAATATACTGTAATGTTGAATTTTGAGGTTGTGGTGTTCCTTCGTAAACACATTCAATTATAATCTAGGAATATGTAAATTTATTGTTATACGTTAACTTTATTGATATTCGATTCGCTACAGTACTATTAAACCTAAAACATTTTCAATTCATGTACGTTGTATTTTAGAGTCGGGGAAACAAAAGAACCCTGTGTACAACTTATTTATATGATATTCTCATTGGTTGCAATTTAATAAGTGGTGTAGCAAAACACAGACACAAAATTTATTGAAATAAAATTAAGTCAATGTTAAGTGCATACTATTAATAAACGTATTTGCGACATAAGAACATTTAATTGAAGCCTAAAAAAACAGTTCGAAAAAGGCATTCTATTCTTTATACTAGTAAAAATTAAAATGAGGGTATAAAAAATAGTTTTCAAAGATCATGTTGATCAATGTACATTCATCTAGTCTTGAAAAAATAAGTATTTGAAAGCTTACTTCAAACATAATGAAGTTTATCGGTTGTTAACAAAATGTCATCATTTTTCAAACCATGTAAACCTTATAGTTTTCCAACTGTTGCCTTGTTTATTTTTTTCTTTTTATGTTTTTTTTTTACTTTATGATGTTTCAATTAATGGTTCAAATATTCATAGTATATATATTTCTGAACAAGAACATATACCATGTATATATAACTAATAAACGTTCCATAAGCATTTTACACGAGAGAACACTCTTCGGCAAGTAGCCGGTCATCGTAACCGGTCATCATGAAGGAGCTTGGACGTCGTGCAACAGCGCTGAGCTATATTGGACGTCGTGCAACAGTCAAATATTTATTGGACGTCGTGCAACTGGCAGCGACTTTGGATGTTGCAAATGTTACTTTTTACAATTCTATAGTGCGCTGTTTCACGACGTCCAAGTGCCACGACGTCCAAAGCTTGTAGAAAGACTATATTTTTGGCAGTTACTGTACTTTTGGACGTCGTGGCACTTGGACGTCGTGCAACAACTCAAAAATTATGTTTTGGACGTCGTGGCACTGAATAAATATTATTGGACGTCGTGGCACTTGGACGTCGTGCAATGCATCCACCGTTTGTTTGTTTAATTAAATAAAAATACCGATGACCACCGTTCTATAGAGATTTAATCATAAAAGTTTACATAAATGTCATAAATATTGAAAATCGAAGATTACAAAGCTTTAGGAGTATATAATCATAACCTCTAGAATGTAATAAAACATCAATAGTTTATTTAGCTCATTGATTATTTTTTAGTGCTTTTGATGTATAAGTTACAATTAAAAACATAATAAAGCTTGTTTTGACACAATATGTTTGGTTACTCATAAACTAGTTTATAGAGACCAAGCTGTTCTTTTGTCTTTAGTCATTACACATAATAATCAGAAGTTTACAATATTATAAGATTGTGTTATTTGACTGAATGAAAGAAATTTAATAATATGTTATTATTAGAGAAAATATGTCACCGCTATAGGATGTCAAGTTAACGTTAATGGTTTCGACGCTATGGGACCCGCCCAGCACACCAAAGCAAAGCGTTGCCGAACTTCAAAAATCTTACAATTAAATTTGTCTTTATCAGTTCCACTAAAATGGTGAATTAGAATGAAAGGAATGTCATATTTATAAATAATTAAAGAAATTTTAATTTACAATGTTATATCAATGTAAGTAACTAATTAAACTGGAGAATATTTCATTCGTATTTAATCTATGATCAACTTTGCAATTTACCTCGCTACCTTTACAGCTGTGCAAAATATGCAGCTGTTGATTTTTTTAGCTAATGACACTCACACCCAACATAATATTTGAATTTCAAAATAACCTCCAAACAAGATTTCATTTCAAATTTCAGTTCAAAAATTGCATCAAAGAAGACTGAAAAAGGACTAACACTACAGTTTTCTTACTCAATTTTACTAATTTTAGTCCCATCTAATTAGTTCGCTTGATAAAGAGAAATTTATAAGGTATTTTTATGCAATTTACGGTCAAGTAATCATGTCAAAGTGGTGTAATCTGTCGTCAGAAGATCATAATCCAGATGATCTAAAACATGATTCAAATCACACGTTGCATGGGAAGAGATCTTCAATAAGAAAGAATTTATTTCCTGAAAGATGGCCAGCGTTTTATTATAAAGCAAAAAGTGCCATTTCAAGCGGTGTAACTAAAATTAATAAAGCACTAATGGTTTTAAAAAACAAGTGTTTATCAGCAGCTCAGGTAACTTAGGCCTAAGATTATGACGTTTTGTACTTGGCCTAGGTTAACATTGATTGTTTTCAAAGATTATGCAGGAGCATAATGCATGGGGGTACAGTTTCTTAACCCCACATAGTACAGTTTATAAGTTCTATGCTAATATCGATTGAAACTATTGTATTGAAAATATTGATTAATAATCGATATTTTAAATATATCTATTATAATATTAAACTAACCTAACCTAACCAACCAAACTTACTGATGGTGAAAAAATCGCATGAAGGTTTACTAATCAAATCGATAGTTTCAATCGATATTAGCATAGACAGTTAAGAAACTGTAGGCCTACCCTAATGCATTCTTTTGCGAAATGGCTTTTACATATCTGTCATCAAACCATACGATTGATGAATTCTTACAGTGTCTAGGCTAGGCCTACATAGATTGACTATAGGCCTACCTAAGTTGCATTATAGTGGTAGCAGAACGGGAGTGCCGATGGAGACCAGGTCAAGTCCCTTCAAACGCACACACCCCGACAAGTCTCCAATCGGCACTCCCGTTTTGCTACCTAACACTGTAATAGTGGCTTATTTACCTTGTATTTTCTTCCCAGTTTAAAAAAGCTGTATTTTAGCTACAACCATGGTTTCAACGCCAATTGCGTCATGGTCATGTAGGACTAATATGTCCGTGTCCCATTGAGCGCGTTCTGGGAACATGCACCGGTGCACCGGTGTTGCCCCGGTGCAAAAAATGTGTCGTTCTGGGAGACCGGTGAGTTAACCTAGCAGACAGCTATTTCCTCATTTTCCTCCACCGGTGCAAGATTTATGCACCGGAGAAATTGTACGGTGCATAATACACCGGCGGCCTCTGATTGGTCTGTTTCTTGGACAACAGCATGCAGCTACGGCAAGATGGCGGATCCATCGAATTATGTTCATCAGTTTTATAGGTTATGCTGCGTAATTATTGAATAATTTATTCTATGAGGGGGTTAAATTACGTATTAAGTGAATAATTTTCAAATAATTTATTCTGTGAGGACAAGTTTGTTTGGTTTAAATATTATAAAGTAAATAATAGGTGAATGCGTAAATTATAATCCGATGTGTACCGTAAACCGGTGAATAACCGTGGGATACCAATACTCTTGCCCCGGGGCGGTACCGGTGAATAAGTCACCGGTTACCGGTACATGTTCCCAGAACGCGCCCAATGTGTTCGTGTTTGTGTTAAATGTGATTTTGACGGCGTCCAAGCGACCTACTGTGACAACGACAACAATGCTTTGATTCTCGACATGCCCTAAATGACCATGACGCAATCGGCATCGAAACCATGGTTGTAGCTTCAATACAACTTTTTTGAGCTGGGACGAAAATACAAGGTAATTAAACCACTATTAATATTTGTCGTACCAGCTCAATTTGGGTAAACCACAATACAATGAATTTAAGTTGCTTTAAGTTTACTCACATTTTACCAATACTTAGCCTTCCAACAAGGATTTTCTTACCTACCATATAATCAGTGGTTTCTGCTTGCAATTAACCAAATAAGGCCGTTTACAAAAAAAAAAAAAAAAAAAATGAAAAGATAGAAATTCTTCTATTATCGAAGCTATGCTGAATTTTGCAATTTAAGAACTGCATAACTTATACCACAGATAATATAACCCCTGTGCTAAAACCCATAAATAAACTAAATTAAGTGAATTCTATAGGTATATTAATAAGTATCTATGTTAATTTAATGATACACTACCATCACATTTTTGTTGAAAACTAATTATTGTCACAATATTTTTAATGCATTTATCTGTGTACCCGATTCAGTACATGACATGACGTCTTGATGAGGAATCAACTCTGAGTGTCATATGTGGATAGGCCCTATACCTTTGGTCTCTAAATTTATAATTCTATTTGTATTCTATATAGAGTTTAATACTGTAAGATCTCTGTAACTTAGCTTATAAAACAGTTAAGATGAAAAAAGTATGGACAAATTAGTAGACCCTTACTAAACAGTTTAGTAGGTAGTACAATAAATATCTTCCAACTATAAGATTTAAGGGGACTGTTAGGCCTAGATCTTATATTGGATTTGTCCTTGAATTTCCTTAAATGATTTTGAAACTTATCTTTGTTCCAGGATCTCACCCTACAAGAGCTTTTGGACCAGGAAAATATCCTTCAAGAACTCAAATCTCAAAATAAAAAACTGATTGAATTGTAAGTGTTGCTGTAGTCTAATGTAGTGTTGAAAGTACGGTGTTGAGTTTTAAGTCAAAATAAGTAAGACTTTTGAGCTAAAAAACTATGCAGAGATGTGTTAAAACCCTACCTCTTAAAAAGACTAGGAGTCTGCGTTGCACCGAAAAAGTCGGTAGGTACGGTACAAGCTTAATTACCGTCATCGGTTCGGTACAGCATTTTACACATTCGGTACAGCCTATTGTAATAATAAATTACTTTCAGTTTACTATCGTAGTCAAGACAGTTGGTTCCGAGCCCATTCAGATGTATGTTTACAATATTCATAATTTATTACTAGGGTGATGATGCAATAAAAAACCCATTAGCAGTCCCAAATCCATTAACATTTTATCACAACAATAATTGTTCTATTCAAGTACTTCCAAGAACTGTTGAGTTTTATCACTTTTATTTCTTTACGACTTCCCCCAATTCTATTTTATCATAAAAATAATAGTTTTATGATGACTGTTAAATGTTATCTCTAACTCAGTCAGTATTTTCGTGAATATTCAATTTGCGCTGGCCATTGCCTACTGCCATAAAACTGTTTATGGCTACATATTAAACTTGTAACTAATCTACAATCTTATTTTAAAAGTTAAAATATTTGTTATAGATATTTTATCTTTCTATTGATGAAACCACAAGCATAGTTGTTGTTTGCATGATTTTTTTTGTTATTCAAGCCTACTAGGTCTCAAATTATGTCATTGCATGTATTGTTAGATGTGGCTGTTTAAGGCTTAAATGTTTTTTAGTTTACTGTATATTTTATTGTGTTGAAGGTACTTTATGCAACCTAAATATTATGAACTAGATAGTGATTATACTACCCTCATTGTAACCTAATCAATTTATATATAGGCTCTCCCAAATAATTAGGTCTGGGCCTGGGTCTTTTGATTCTTTGGAAGAGCTTTAAAAAATACTTTTACAAAAAAAATTGGTTTGAGCCTGAGATAAACTAATGATTGATATTGTGGATATTAACTTTGTAAATGAAAAGACAATAATCTTACTCTGTGATAATCCAAATTTTAGTTTCAGAAAAAAACTTTGCAAGAGTTGTATCCATCTTATAACTAGTTTTGAAGCTGATAAAAAAAAGATTGAAATGTTGTTAAACGTAGTTAGTACGGTAAACGGTTGAGTTAAGTTTGTTTACGTTAGGTTAGGTTTACAAAAAATACAATTCAGTAAATATATTACATGACAAAGAGATAAACGTTTTATGGAAAAATTATATGATAAAGTTTGTTGATATCAGTCTATGTCTTTGTAACGTTTGTTTGTTACTCTTTACCCGGTGGCAAAGAAAGGGTTAGCTGCTAGTTCCCTATGTATGGTAAATATTTAGCGCAGACTATATACGATGGAACATAAAAGAGGGGATAGGTGTATTAAAGCGTTCGAGGAGGGGAAGGAGCATCCAATCTTGACAGATTGTTGACTGCCGGTGCAACTGGGCACTCTTGGGAGGGAGGACTTTGTCGACCCTTGCAAATTCCTTTGACCATCGGTGCAACTGGGCATCAGCTGTCGAGCGCGGTCTAATTGGGGGTATTCACCGACCCGGCCGTCCTAATCCCTCAGCCGCCCCCAGCTTTGGCGCGGAGTATAACTGTATAAGAAAAGTGTATATGTATCTATTTAATAAGTAGTTTAATAGGGGCAGCAATACATAATTATCTAATACTGTGAATCCCCTCAGGCCATTTAACATTTTGACCAACTAGATTTGACCCTGGTTAGTTAAATTAGTAGGAGTAGGCTATACTGTAGGATCTGAACTTTTTAAATAATTGAAATATTTCTGTCATAATATTAAACTCTAGACATTTGTATCCACCTCAAGTATAGAGCATATATTGATTCAGACTTTTATCTATTCAGCTTAGTCAAGCCCGAGGTCCTGTTTGAGCTTGTGACGCTGATTGTGACAGAACCCCCGGAGGAGCTGCCAGAAGCTGAACGTTACAAACACTCCAACATTGCCTGTGAACTCCTCACCACCGACATTCCTTCCTTCACGGAGAACCTAGTAAAAGACGCTACTCTCCTTGCCAAGCTTTATTCATTCCTAGAAACTGATCCTCCGCTTAACCCGCTTCTCGCTTCATTCTTCAGCCGGACAATGGGAGTCCTTGTGGCACGCAGGACGGAACAGGTAAGAAGATAAACATAATTTGATTTTTTTCATATTATCTAGAGCTCTTGGATTTCCCTGATATCCCACAAAACTCCCCAGTATTTTCCTGATGTTTCTTAACACCCATAGAATTTTATCTTTTAGTCCCCCCAGTAAAAAAAGTTACTCTTCTAGTATTTTAACAAGGAAGTGATAAATTCTCTGGACTACGAGATATTTTAAAGTTGATATGGGTAAGTTTTTTTATGAGTTAGCAGGGTTAACACCAGCCATGAAAACCTTGAAAAGCTTGAATTATGCATGCATTCTTGAGACCATGAAAAAAGACATGGATTATCCATGGATTTCTCAATTGGACCATGAATTTTCAAAATCAGGAACAATAATTATTCAACCAGTACCATTAAATTTTCCAAATAAAAAATATTTTATATTTAAAAACAGTTCATAGAAACGAACACCATGAAAATACTGTGTGGAGATGATTATTTAACATGTTTCACGATCAGAAACAATTGCTTATTTCATTCCAAGTCATTCAAAGATGCTGATGTCAGCCGAGACTTCCTGAGGACTGTATATGGTTCGAAAAATCATTAGTAGGCCAACCCCTGCGTATGAAAAAGGGGTATGGGGACTTAAACAAGGCCACACTTTAAATAACAAAAACAGAAGTTTTAGACCATGCACGGAATTGAAACGGGGTGCGCAATAAAACCGAATTTCCGACTCTGACCTGGCTGATTTTTTAGTTTTTGGATAAAACCATCATATCTTAGTACGTCGTGAATAAGATAAACCAGAATGCACATTTTATGACAATTATGTAGGGGGATAAAACTGGATGAAACAGGACTTTTTTGGCTGGGTGAGTGGGATTTTTATTTTATTCCGGTGGAAAGACTGAATTAGACCTAGTCTTAATATATTTTACAATTCTTCTTGTTTATAATGTTTATAAATCACTCTAAAAAAGTTGTATATTAAATATGAAAGGTTTTTCAAAAGTAACACGTAGGTAAAGAAACTGCCTCTTTAACTTCAGTTTATGAAATCAGCAAAACTCAATTGTGTTGAAATTGTATAAGCGCATCGACCATGAATTCTTTGTAAACTACCAATGAAAACCATGAATTCTGCATGAATTTTACCATCCCACTGTGGTGGCAACCCTGGTTAGGCATAACTTAGGTTAATGGTAGTACCCCACTAATCCCTCATTTACTGAATTATGGTCAGGACAGTGAAAAGGTTGGATTATCCAAGGAGCACTTTAGATAAGTAATTGAGGCTCGCAGTAGGGAGGCGCTCAGTATTTTGCCAGGATCGTGGGATACGACGGTAATTTTTCCTATACTGCAGGAGATATTCAAGAGTTTGCCAGAAAAAACTTGTTGTCAATTTTCCAATATGCTAGTTATTAAAGAACAAACATGTTTTTTATGATACAAAATCTTTTATTTTAAGAAATTACATTAGCTAAGTTGAACAACTTTACCAACATTTTACTGTTTTAGAATTGGTACTCGTACCAGTTTACGTGTCTGCAAGTCCTTGAGTTTCTTAAGACAAAGGAAGGCAGTGTGTCAATGCTTCTGAAGCACCTTGGCACTTCGGCTATCATGGACCTCACTCTCAAACTGGTCACTCAAGTTGAGGGCGATGAAATGAAACTGAACATACTGAATGTGAGTAGGCCTAGTTGATTTAGTAATTTTTCAATTTACTTTGATGTACCGTAGGTCAGTTTGTAAATCTTACAAGCTGATAGTTTATTTAAGTTATGGAAATATCTCTCATGACTACTCTTTGAATACAGAAGCTAAGCAGTTGTGCAATAATTCAATAATTCTTCCCTAAGGAATAATAATAATAGGGAAATATTCTGTACACATTAGAGTTGGTTGTTTCAAAGAATAATTGACAGTAAGGCTGCAATTTTGTTTGTGTACATGTACATCTGTTAAACTGTACAATAACATGTGAGTTACCTGCAACAGACTCTCTCCTTAAATAATATCCTCCAAGTTTTTTCAGAAATTGTATACCGGTATATATGGAGACGGTTGTAATAATGATCTCATCATTTCTATCCTAGCTTAGTCCAGCCCTAACCTCTCGTTCCTGTCCAATCCTCTATTTTTAATAGTAAAGTAGCGTGTAGTGGGTTATTTGTTGGGTTTGCATTGCATATAAGAATCTGTTGGCTCTCCACATACAGACTGTCCAATCCACTATGACACCATCCCATAGTGGTCCCGCTCAATGAACCTTCAATTTGTAATTTCTGATTTTGTTTTTCGGACACTTAATTCTTTCCCACAAAACCTGAATGAATTTTGGCATTCAGCGTGCCAAAAACTGTAATTAGACATATAAAAATCTAATTATTAATTTATGGAAATATATGAAATTTTTGTCCAATATTGTGACTCCTCGTTTGTATATTTTTCAGTTTTTGGCGGCTCAAGGACTTGTGGAGATGCTGATAGAATCGTTGTCTCCCGAGGCAGAACCAAGTTCTAACTTCAATGCAGCTTTGCTGCTGTCAGACATCATCATCAAGTCAAGAGAGTCAGGTTTTGAGAACAAATCTGAGCTAGACCCTATTCTCTCCTGTCTTGAGTCGTAAGTCGATGTTAAATGGTTATGTTATAAAAGGAAGTGATTAGATCATTTAAATTGAAAGTTACAGTGTCATTAGTGCCCTATTTTAAACTGTTGATAGGTTAATCATCTGCAGCATTATAGGATATAAAAACATATTATATATTTCTTCATTTACAATGTTTCTTGATTTTACATTTAGACATGGATGCTAATTTAAAATATTCAGGATTAACTTAAAATTATAATTAGATGACTTCTCACAAAGCACAAAGGGTTCAGTTTAAATATGGGCTGTTTTTTAGACCTATTCATAAACTGCCAACAGTTCAAATATGTTCAGCATTAAGATTTAACAAGAAAACATCTTATTTGATACCAAAAGACACTATGCAAGTTGTAGACCTAAGCCTTCACAATTGACACATATTTTCTCCTATTAGCTTGTTTTATCATCCCCAACAACCTTTATCATGGGTAAGCGATGGGAGTTTACCTATGATATTTTATAGGGGAAATCACAAAAGTTGCAATAAGTTTTGAACCACAATTTTTACAGCAATGCTGGGTTGCACTATATTGTTTGGACCATAACATACTAATTTTAATTGAGACCAGAATTTAATCCAACACTTGTGTATGGGACCAGGGAGGTGTTGAGTAACGGTACTATTTTTTTTTTTTTTTTTTTTTTTTTTTTTTTTTTTTTGAGCGTAGCGATTTGGGATCAACTTCAATGCAACAAATAGAGAAACATCACTCAATAACGGCTGAACGCATTTCAGCCAAACTTAACAAAATTACTTAGACTAATAGTGAGATGGTTTTTAAACAAACAAATCTCAATTAGATAATGCTAATGCAATTTAAAACGAACTTAAAATTTCCAAATTTTAACATTAGGCTTATGGGACAAAAGTAGCCATATGACAGTTTTTTGTTTAGAAAAAAAAATGTAAACAAGAGAACCATTACGGTATTTCTGAACTTTCTAGACTTTTCTTTTAAACGTTTTTAAACCATTCCTATGATTTTAATAAACAAGAAAATGCCGTTAAAACATTTTTTTAAGGCGCGAAATTCACTGAAAATCGAGAAAATATACGGAACTACTTTCTCAATGCGCGGATCATAAACAAGGAGCGGAGGGATACGGAACAGTGACTACTTTCTTTGGAACCTATTTGTGTTGCCAGCTGATTAAAAACAGCCAATGTTAGAAATCAGGATTTAATAAGCGATATATCGAACCACATTGAAATCGATATTTGATCCGATAATACATCACAGGTTATATTATGTTGAACTCGCCTTTGGCTCGGTTATATTATGTTGAATTACATCGACGGTGCAGTAAGTTATTAGACCTATTAATGAAACGCAGATTGAACACTGATCTAATCTAGGCATGTGGGGAAGGTAGCAAAGAAAGCTGAGTTTAACCGATTGCAGGGGTTGAAATGAAGACCAATGTTTATGTTGCACAGTTGAATTTAAATGTCAAATTTCCCCTCCTGTTGTAATACTTTAATACTAGTTTTTTTAATAGTTACTGTTGTTTTTATACTTTAATATAGCCTACTTTAACCGATTGTAAGGGTGAAAAATGCAGTCCAATGTTTTTGTTGTAGGTTACAGAGTTGAATTTGAATGTTAAATTTCCTTTCTCTTTTTTATACTTTAATGCCCTTTTTGGATGTTAATACCAGATTCCAACTACTGTAGTATTTTCCTGGTCAAAACTACCATAATGCACTTTTGGAAGAGGTATCTGAATAACAAGATGTAGTAAAACCAAATCTGAATTATTATAATTTTAATCAATAAAACCAGCATTAGTACATCTATTGACTTTTTTACATTTAGTTACTTATACAAATATCAAATCAAGTTTATTCCGCTCAACTGGCTTTCACCTCTGAAAGCAACCCTAGTTTAGGGTGAGGAGGGAAAATGCTTTTACGCACACAGGTAGCCAGCCTGTAGTGTGAGACTCCTGAGTTTATCACAGACTACTCACTAAAAAACCCCCTCTACTCTGTTGGACACAGACCTGGAATTGTTTGTCACATTACTTCAAGTCAGGCCAACATGTGACCTAAGCCCACAGGGCTCGCACCGTTTCTGGCATTATTTATTTTTTGACCTACACCGCATCCCGGTCGAGGTCAAGCTTCTTGGCGCGGAGAACACCCTGGATGTAAAGTGACACACAGGTCCAATTGTCCTCACCCTCCATCATCATCGGTATGACCGTGTCCACCGACAGCAGTCCTACGAACTGTTGAGCCTCTAGGCGGGGCCTTTCCCAATGCTGGCAGTGGAAGAAAGTGTGTTCCACGTCATCGGGAATGCCTGGGCAGTATATGCAATCGGGTGACACGGCTTTGCCCATCCTGAACAAGTACGACCGGAAAAAGCCGTGACCCGTCAGAAATTGGGTGAGGTAGAAGTTCACCTCTCCGCACCGCCGATTAACCCAAGGTTGGACCTGTTGTATCAGTCGCCTGGTCCAGAGCCCCCTTGTCTCCTGTTCCCAGCTCTCCTGCCACAGCTGGAAGGTCCGGGTGCGTTCCTCAATACTTGCCTGGTCCTCCCCACGGCGCTGATAAATTGCCTTCCTCTCCGCCGCCAAAAGTTTGACGGGGATGACTCCAGCAACCACCAGGACGGCGGGTTCGGACACTGTTCGATAGGCAGATGCTACCCTTAGTGCTGCCTGACGCTGCACTCGGGCGAGCCGCATCCTATATACCTCCTTATTGAGAGCGTCTGCCCAGACCTCCGCACCGTACAGGAGCACTGACTGGACCGCAGACATCAACAGCCTTCTGCGGCTGGACCGTGGACCTCCGACATTGGCCATTAACCGACTAAGGGAAGAAACCATTTTAGCGGCCTTGTCCGCCGTACGGGTGATCTGGTCTCGCCAGCTGAGCTTGCTGTCCACCATGACCCCAAGGTACTTTGCAGCACGAGTGGTTTGGACTTCAACGTTCCCCACCATCAAAGGCACGATGGTGTCAATCCTCTTTTTAGTCAGAATGACAATCTCAGTTTTGCTCAGAGCGAGCGAGAGACCATGTTCTGCCATCCATGCGTTAATGGTTCGCATGACTCGATTTAGTTTCAGCTGGGCAAGCTCAATGCTACGTGCAGCTATTAAAGCCGCAACGTCATCTGCATACCCAACTAGGACAGTTTCCTCAGGCATCTTGGATCTCAAGAGGCTGTCGTAGGCGACGTTCCAGAGGTCCGGGCCCAGTATGGATCCTTGAGCAGCACCAGAAGTTACATCCATCGTCCTGGAGCCTTCTGTAGTGTCGTAAATGATGAGGCGGTACCGGAGGTAGTCCTCTATCATGCGCATGAGGTATGCCGGGACGTGGAAAGTGTTCTCCAGTGCGTCGAGCATATCGCACCACCTCGCGGAATTAAATGCGTTTCGCACATCAAGTGTTACAAGCAGCACAACCCGACGAGAATAGTTGTTAAACTCCTCAGCTCTCATTACGGCTCGCTTTACCTCCTCAATAGTGTCAACCGTTGACCGTCCCTTCCTGAAACCGTACTGACGAGGGGATAGATTCCCTGCAGCAACCACGGCTGAATTCAGTCGGGAACGGATCAACTTTTCCAAGACTTTCCCAGCAGTGTCCAACATACAGAGAGGTCTGTAAGAGGAGGGTAGGTCTGGGTTTCCTTTTCCCTTCCCCACGAGCACAAGCCTAGCTGTTTTCCAGCAGAAGGGAAACTTCCCCTCGGCCAGGCAGGCATTGTACGTGCTCAAAAGGATTTGTGGGTTTATTGAAAAGACTTTCTTCAGGGCCTCACCAGGTACCCCATCCGGTCCAGGAGCCTTGTTGTTCTTCAGGGACAGAACGGCCGCCTCCAACTCCTCGAGACTGAAAAGCGGTACGTCGTCCACTCTTCCGAACTCCCGCAATGGGCGCAGTGTGTGAGTCGGGAAAAGGGACTTTACGATCCTCTCCATAGAGGCCCCGTCCATAACGGAAGGTGGAGAGCGGGTGCCAAGCTTCTTGGTTACTATCTTGTAACCAAGGCCCCACGGATCGGAATCGACATCGTCCCTTAATTTCTCCCAGCAACTGCGTTTGCTCCGGTTAATGGCCCGGCGAAGAGACTTCCTAGCCACCTTGTAAGCGTCAGACTTAAGACGTCTATCTTCAGGTTCTCTGGCCCTGGTAGCAAGACGTCTGGCTCTCAATGCTGCCCGTCGTAGTTCTGCGATCTCGGTTGTCCACCAGTACACAGGTCGCTTATCGCACCGGGATCTCCTGCGGGGCATTGACTCTTCGCAGGCCGAGACTATCAGCCTCATCAATGATGTAACTGATGTCTCTGCGTGAGCCACGCCAGATGCAGCAGGTACCACTGGCTCTCCCCGTAGTATGACTTCGGCGAATTTGGCCACGTCCAGCTTTTTGGTGTTCCACCGAACGGGCACCTGCCGAGACACGGTAGCTTGTCTCTGATGACTATCCATGACATCAAAAATGATGTACTGGTGGTCACTGGCCGAATAATCCTCTAGGACTCTCCAGGCTCGTATCCTCGGCAAGAGGGACTCAGATGCAAGCGTGATGTCTGGGATCGTTCCCCTCATTCCGGGACGCTGGAAAGTTGGCGTGTTGCCCTCGTTTATGACAACAAGTCCAGCCCTGGCAGCAAAGTCCAGGATGTACTTCCCCCGGGAATTAGTGAGAGTCATTCCCCACTCGACAGCCCTAGCATTGAAATCCCCCGCCACGACAACGTGCCCGGCGGTATCGCGCACGCTCTCTTCCAGGCGGTCTATCTTTCCACGAAAGTCACGGATAGCCTCGTTGGGAGTGAGGTATACACTAAAGTAAGTGACATCCCCGCACCGGACCCAAACGAATCCTCGGCCCTTCGCGTGACTCCTTACCTGCACTTTAGCTGTATTACGAACCCAGAACGCAGCAGTACCAAGTGTATCGGGAAACCAAAGAGATGGGTCCCTGTCCCGGTACTGGTACTGTTCGCTGACCAAGAGCGCGTCAACACCGTGTTCGAGGGCAAGCTGACTGAGAAGCGCGTCAGCCGTCCTGGATCGATCTACATTGCACTGGAGGATCCTTATCTTCGTGGTTGGGCTTTCGCTTGTTGTAGTGCGCCTTTAAATGCACTGCACTGCCCAGACCCAGCTATATGTTTAGCGTTTTTATCATTGAGGCCTTTCTCCTTACAGAGGAAACAGGTCTCAACTTTACAGTCCCTACGAGTGTGACCCACCTCCCCGCATCGAAGGCAGTTCTTGCCTCGGTCGGGCCCTTCGCAGTTTCGGGAGGAATGGCCGAAATCAAGGCATTTAAAACACCTCGTTACTTCCACCCTCCGTCTCAACCTGCAATTAACCCATCCAACCCTCAAATGCTGGAGTGCCAAAACCTTACTGGCGTTTGCGTCTGCCATTTCGGCGACCGCCATCCGCTGTTGACTCCGGTTTGGTTTCGTGAGCCACACCCTCAGACTAGCCGTTTGTCCGGCAAGCTCGGGGACAGCTTTTTTTAGGGCATCAATGACGTCATCCTCCGTTGACACACAATCCATATCCCGAACCTCGACGGACGTCTTGGGTTCGAGAGCACGAACGGTGCCCTGACCTTCCACAGCTGCCTTTAGTTCGGCAGCAAAGGCGGCTTTATCTTTAGACTTACCCAGTTCGAGGAGGACGTCCCCGTCCCGGGTTTGTCTAATCGACCGTACAACCGTGTCGGTTTGCTCTGGCTTAGCCTTGGCCTTGATAACACCCAAGACTTCGGCGAATGATCTTCCCTCCAAAGGCTTGACCAAAATTGCCTCAGTCCTGGGCTTTTTGGGCCGCGACTTTTTAGCGAGTGCCGAGCCAGGCACAGCTTGGGCCACGCCGGTCGACTGCGCCCTCACTGCCACATATGTCTTGGAGCCGACTTCCGCGTGCCTCAATTTCCTCTTCTCCTTTTTCGTAAGGCGCTTTTCCCACACAGTCCCAGATGGTGTTTCTACGACTGACCCCTTTCGGGAGCTACCCTCAATGGGTGTCGCAGGTTGCTGTGGCTGTTGAGGTTTCGCTGGAGCGGCAACTACGTCAGAGAAGGACCTAGAAGTCTGGGTCGCCTTGACCTTAACTTTAGGCTTTGCTGTCTGAACAACCTCTTCTCTTTTTGGAGGGCTTTCTGATGTAGGCCTCCTGCGTTTCTTGGAAGGTCGCGCATTGTCGTCAGGTAGGGACACCACCTTCTCGGCGATCCTTTCCATGGCCGCCTTGCTCACCAGCCGGCAGGCGAAGACAAAACCAAGGTCGTCCTCGAGCTTAGCCATACCATTTTTAACCACTCCTCTCTGCGTCTTAAAGGTTTCAAGCATTGCCTTTATGGTCTGCTCCATGTTTCGAAGCCGGTTTTCAATGTCATTTTCTGCGTCGAGATATTGCTGACGCAGAAGTACCATTCCCGACACTTCCAAATCTAACGCTGTTGTTAGGGATTCCTCCGGCATCCCTTCACCAGACTTAGAGGGTGGTCCACCGTTTCCTTCTCCACTTGTCAAGGGAGATCCCAAAGTCAAGTCTTTTGTACACCTGAAAGATGCAGGTGGAGGGGACGTCTTCACGCCTTTCAATGTTGGCGATCTCTGGACCTTGGAGCTTCGCCCAAAAGGGTCTCGCTCTACTTCCGACTTCTTTTCTTGCTCATTTGAGCTACTTATTAAAGATGTGTTCAGGGTATTTGTTATAAAAGCCATCTTGTGTTTACCAGCGCATCGTGCGGCAAGGGGCGGCCCGGAATAGTCAGGAACGGGTATACCCTCGGGGACAGCGCCCCTATCCCAGTTCCCCGAGGCCCAACCTCCGTTTTCCCAGCACCGGATACCTGACGTGCCGGGGGTCACCCGTCACAATGTAGAGCCCGACCTCTACATCCATGCCGCACTCCCTGACCAAGGACCGAAGTGGCTGGTTTCTCACGACTCACTGAGAATACCCATCGGCAGTGCAGAGCACACATCAACCCCTGCAAACACAACAGGGGCACTCCCAAGGACTCCCAGTGAGAGCGTCGGTCACCCTTTTAGTCGCCTCTTACGACAAGCCCGGGAAGGCTGCGGTTCTATTCTAACCTCGAAACCGCAGGGGGGAGTAACGGTACTATAAACGTCAGATAACTGAAAATAATACTAAATTTAGTTCTGCAAAAAAGGACTGGATACCACATCTGGAAAACACATGTCCCCTACCCCTGTTAAAATATAATTCAGGTATTGCACCAACATCCTGGAGTGTGGCAGATTATTGAGTGTCGGATCACATAATTTTCATAATCGGAACTACTAGAGCTGTAGAAGCATAGGCAATAATGTAGATGATGTGTTTTTGTAGAAGTGAGACAATAAAGAAGATACTAGAAGTGATGTTTAGCGGAGGACGGAAAGAGAGCAGCTTGATAGGAGGTATTGCCGTGTTACTGACCTTGCTGGAGCCCATCAAACTGGTGTAAGTACATTGCATTCTCCATACAGTGTAACCACTCAACTGTGATCACTTTGAATCTGTGAACTTTGTAAATTGAAAAAAATATCATATAAACATTTCTTAAATAGGCCGAGCTGCTCTAGTCTGGAATTTTTTGTTTCTAACACTAATTTTGTTAGGTATTGAATTCGGGGTGTGTGTTGTGTTGAATCAGTTTAGACTAATAAATGTCGTATTCAGTTTTTGATTAAACTTTTTATCAAACAAAAATAGTATGACCTAACTTTAAATCAGGGATTTCAGCTAACCGGGAAACCAAAAAAAGTTAATAAATTTTGTATGGACAGAGAATTTTGAAAAAAAATGTAATCGCCTATGATTGATCATCCTTTTTTAACAGTGTTTTGTTTAGTATGAAAATGGTCATTGCGGATAATGATCCCGATGTAACTTTGCCATTGAATTCGATTTTGCTTTTGGACACAGAACTTCATGTAAGCAAATCTTTTACCTTGTATGTTACAGAGGCGCTGGTAGCCTGGACTCTGGTGGGCTTGCTCTCAACTACGGTGGAGAGGGGGGAGGGGGTGGAGCACCAGGGGAGTCCCCTGCCCCCTCCCCTCCACCACCTGTCACTCTCTCTACAACTGAGGCTATCATTCCTTACTTGACACAATTCCATGATCTCCTACTCAACCCACCTCAGGTAAGTGCAAAACTTGCATTCATGTTAAAACTAGGGGTTGGCACGTAGAGGTTTTGAGCAACTGCTTGCAGTATGGAGTGTAGTTATACTTAAAAGTAAATATATACATGTAAATATGTACATGTTTTTTACTAACTGTTAACCCTTACTGCGCTACAGATATGTCGGGTGGCCTTGACTGTAACGCTACATATACCTAAAAAATATATTTTCCCAAAAGTCAAAGCTGAATATTTTTTTTTTAATTATAACAATATAACCAACGTAATAAGCCAATATAATAGGTAGCGAAAGTAGCAGAGAACAAAGTTTTCTGTGGAGTCTGCGAGTTAACCAAACACTTGCGAGTTAGTTCCTCCTCAGCGCTGGCGTCTCTCATAGCAGAGACCGGCAAGTGTAGGGCGCCGCCATTTTGAATAATCAGAGGGCGGGGAACGTTATTATTCGGCAAAACTGGGAACTACAAGGACCAGCCAATGCACTCTTGTATTAAAGGCGAGTATAGTCGTCTATGGCGTTTTGAGCAAAGGGAATTTCGGCGAGTATATTCGTCTACAGCGCGGTAAGGGTTAAACATTATTTTGTAAAACTATGGAAACATTAAGAGACTATGATGATGTTAATGTGGGCATACACTAAACATTAAACATCGATCAAGCTGTTGATAGCCCTTAAATATTCATTCATAACTGCAGTGCTAATCCAGAATATGTGATGGTCCGGCACCACTATAAAGGTCTAATAGTATATTTCATCACTAGGGCCTAAAAGTGACTCTTTTTGACCCGAGGTAAAGTTTTACGAAAATGAGCGAGGGTTAAAAAGGCACTTTTTGCCTGTGTGGTGAACTATATTTTTTGTCATTGTATCATTAATTAACAAACTAAGCTAGGAAACAAAATATTTGAATCTAAAGATAACCTCTCAAAACGACGTCCAGCTTGTTTTTTAATACTGCTAATGCAAATAAGCACCTGGTTCGTAAGTGATTCAATCATTTTGTCTATTACAATCGTGTTGTGTTACAGTACATTATACCATCGATATGTCAAGCGATCGACAACAATAGAACCTTACCTAATAAATCAATCGATAAATAACTTCGACCGATACGATTGCCACAATTGAAATTTACAACTGTTTACAACAGCTGATTTTTACTCCCTAGAGAGTAAAAATTCTACTCTAGACCCACAACGCATGCATTAAAAACGGCTGTCATTGCTGCAGTATGACGAAAACAAATTTTTTGGAATGCTGATTCAAGCCGTATTAGTTTAAGTCAGGCTTTAAGTCTGTTGCATTTAGCTGAATCGGGGAGATTCGTTATTATTTTTAGCATTTTCTTTCCCTAATAAAATAAGAGAAAGCACAATAAAACGTGGTATAATGGTCAGCCAACGATTTCCTTTTTGACATGTTAAAATTAAAGGTAATCTCACAATACTAGCTTGAGCTAAACTAAGAAGGTGTTCACTCGTTCAGTAAATCCAACATTTTCATTCATCTGGCCCCACAATGTATCATTTACCAACCTAAAAAAAAAATCATTTATAAGCCTGTATTTATTTTAACTCTAAAGCAACCTCAGATAACTTGAGGGCTCGGATAATCGAGAGTGTATTGTATGGATCGTATTGTGTTGTAGAAGCCAGCAGTGAAGATGACCTGTGGACAGGTAGACCCCCCACTAGGCAACACCAGACTGAACGTCATCAAACTGTTGGTGGCCCTCATAGCCACTCATAACCAACAAGTGGCTGAACAATTGGTGGCTTTGGACACCATACAAGTGCTCTTGGTGAGTTAAGATAAAAGTTGTTAATGACAACAAAGAGCAATAAATTCAAGCATCTTGCAAATTTAATATTTGTAACAATTTTATATTTCCATCTTAAATACCGCTTTATTTGGCTAAACTCTGAATACCTCTATGTTATTTTATTTCCCCCACCTTTTTGTGGTGGTGATTGTAGCATACTGGGGAGGAGGTTACGTGTTGAATGAATGTTATTTTTCAGGACATGTTCTTCAGATATAGCTGGAACAATTTTCTCCACACCCAAGTTGAGAAGTGCCTAACCACTGCCATGCTAGTGGACCCCTCCCCTACAGACGTCCCAGCAGACAACTTGCTGCTTCACAATGTATGTAGTCCTGCCTGAGTTGGTAATTTGTTGTACGTTTCTGAGGGAACCAGAACTAAACTTCCTATCCGCCAACTATGGATAGCATATTGTCTGAGTTATTGCTGTTTGTGGAATGGTAAAACTTAGTTTTAAGGTTAATGATCGTCAAGTTAAGAATTTAAATCCAAATCCTTAACATGTTGTCTTGAATCTCAAGCAAAAAAAAAAAATATAATAAAAATACTTTTCCTACAAGTTACCCGACGAAGTGGGCTTCCTTGAACTGATTATAGTACATAAAGCTGCTAATTGCTGCATTTACTTATTTTGTTTCACACTCTTTAGTTTGTTGCACAGTTTTAGCTTCGTCGCACACCAGTATTCCAACCAAACAACACAAAACAGTGTGCTTTTATTAAACACTTAATCCGTGTCCACTAGGAAATATGTTGGAAACACATAAAGATACCTCGACTACGATCAGCTGGTACAGCTACCCATTTCGTTCAATGTGATTTAACCTCTAACCTAAAAACAAAAACTGTTGTACAGTGTTTGAAAGACTAATTATTTATATTATTTTTAGTAACTGTAGGAAAAATATAATATTGTGTAACACGAGTGCAAACTGCCTTTGCTGCACTTGAGAAACTTTCCTCCATTCTAAAAAAAATTTAACATTTTTAAACATTTCTCTCATGTTCAGCAAAATGCCACTTCGCCCACTAATTTACACAAATAACTATTGTAGCATAGTTAGTGGGTCTCTCGTCAAAATCGAACAAGCCGTTCCGGAGGTGTGATATCGTAAACTCGAGTCTACATAATTTTTGCACCGACAGTAGTTCTAAGTTTTTGTTGTGTGGCCAATAGACTGCAGCAGTGTGATTAGTAATTAATTGTTATTTTAGTATAGGTTTGGAGATAGGCCTATGTATCCATAGGTCTTTCCATTTTCCAGAACTTATCATAAGATCAGAACACCTAGCTTTGTTAAATGTTTGGTCAGAATAGAACATTATATCACTTCATTTGTTGTTTTCTTACAGATTTTTATCAAGTGCCGCCTGTTAAACAGGATTATTGAAGCTTGGAAAGAGAATGAAGTTGAACAGTAAGTTTCTCTACAACAAATTTATATACATTTTATACTTAAAACATTTATATACGTAGTGGATAAATGGTGGTTTAATCGAGACATAACAGGAAAAGCCATGTGCTCCTTTTATTTAGATATTGCTTCACAAACATAACAAAATTTAAATGTCATATCACGATGGTACAGTCATGCAAATATGGTACAGGCCTAGTGAAAAACATCTTAATTCAGAATAAATATCCTTAACAAACAAACAAACACACAAACTTTCACATTTATAATATTAGTAAGATTATCATGTAAAGTCCTGTTGTTAAGATCCATTGTATCTAAATGAACTAATTAACGACACACAAAACCAAACTATTATTTATTGTTGTTGACTCGGTAGCAAACACAAAAACAATAATAAAACATCAGCTGATTGAACAATGATAAAATTGAAATCATTACACCCACAGGTCCAAACAAGGTGGCTGCAGGAAAGGTTATATGGGTCACCTGACCAGATTGTCCTTCACCATAAACTCCTACTGGGACAAGGGGCTAGGGACATTCATCAAGACCAACGTCCCCGAGGACCAGCTGACTGCCTGGCAGGAGTTTACTGATGGAGAACTGGCTGAGATCAAGGCCCAACGTGAGATTCCTCTGGTAATACAATCCGGCTCTGTTTGTGTGTGTTTTTGTAACTTAAAGTTGTGAAGTTGATAAATATGTTGAGGGAAATAGCTATTCTATTCACCAAGTAGACTATAAATAGACTTGAGGATTTCTGAGGATTTGTAGAAAATGGAACACAAAAAGGACACTATGCAAAGAAACTGAAGTTTTTCATAGTCTCCGACAAAATTTTTAACAAAGGAGAATTATATTACCAATTGAGGCAAGGCTATTTACCTAAATGTAGACAAAGAATAATGTAGAATGGAGTGAGATACCTTGTGTAGCTGACTACCTTCGTGTATCTTTAGCCCTGGCTAGTTAATAAAAGCCCAATGAGCATTCAAGGACAGCTAGGTCTAGTTTTGAACCTTCACAAAAGCTAATGAATTTTCTCAGGATCAAACTCGAGACCTGATTAGTAGGTGGGTTCTACAACCACCTATCTACAATGTTGAATCCCTTATATTTTTTGTTACATACAGTCTATATCAAACTTAAAATAGATTACTTAACTTTTTAGAGAAACCAAATTCAGATCTTGATATAGCTTGTATAACCCAAGATTTTTAGTTGGCCAATGATATATGACAGCTAAAGTAATTTTATATTACGTTTGAAGTTTCGAGCTTTGATTTGATTTCCAAAAATAATGTTGCTGATGTTTTATAAATTCTCTTCAACTCTGAACATTGTCATTGCAGGGAGGTAAACACCCAGCGCAATCCACCTCTGAAGACGACGAGAAAAACTTCCGCAACATTCCTTTCCAGCAAGACACCCAACTCCAACAGGTTTGTTGGTTTTATTACATTTTTTGTAAAAGTTATTTCTACATTTTTGATGTTACTAACGGATATTTTTTCATTACGAACAAATTCTCTTAGTTCTGCTTTAACTTTGTGGAATAGTATGATAACGTTTCTCTATAACTTTGACATTCCTAGCTGCGGTACTTGCCTGGTTAGCAAACTACATGTTGAATTCTATAACAATATTGTTTATTCAAATACATAATATATCAATAATTGGTTTGTTTGATCACAGCTTTACACCGAGTACCAAACCCAACAGATGTCATCACAGTTCATTGAGAACTTCGGATATCATGAGTCGGAGTTCAATGACCCTGAGGATAATATGGGGTGAGATAACGAGTTACTTACATGTTGTTCCTCTGTTTAAGTTTAAGCCAGTTCTAGAATAAAAATTAACATAATTGAATTGAGCCATGGACAGAATGCGTTGATGTTACTCTTTGTTACTATTGATGTTGAGAGTGCTACTGATTTAGAATATTCTACTTTTTTAACCAAGCAATTGTAGTAAAGGATATTTACAGTAACATCCACCATTACTTCAACAAAAACGAAAGTATGAAAATATAATTTTACACTGTAGCCCACTCTAGTGAGAAGCTCATTCAACTATCCGAAAGTCAATTACATTACAAGGGGCAGTCAGTCGTACTTTGTGTTTACAATGGTACTCAGCTAGAGGGGTGCTAGTAGCACGATCGTTGGTCTGAGCTTATCCTAGCCTTAACGCTAGAGTTTGATTGAACATAGAGTCAGAAAGTTGAGCCGAGCAGACCTTTTACTCACACGATGTTATAGCTGTTGCAAATAGCGTTTATGGCATTCATGTGTGACGCCAAAATTCTAGGGGAGGAATAAACTAGTATTCACCAAGTCAGGCTAGGCCTACCCCTAGAACTGGCCGCACTCAAATTTCTTCCCCGGAGTGCTCAGAAGGAGCTTAGAAAAATCCAGTGGTCGATATGAAGTTGCCACGGCTTTGACTGATCACATTATTAATTTTTTAATCGAAGGCTCAGAGCTCTAGAAGCGCTCAGGAAATCCTGCAGACGCCCAGTTCTAGCTATATCAGACTATATCATCCCAGCCTTTGTAAAAGTGTTTTGGTGAATTTCTGAATTTTGCCTAACTTTTAGAATGACTCTGTAGGGCCGACGAGTATTCAATCTTAAGCCAATGTGATATAAATACCCGTATCGAACTTTAAAATAATTAACTAAAGGCCTAGGTAAATAATATGGAACAGCCTATAACGTAAAAACAATTCCTACAGAGTCGTCGGGGCCTAATTAATATAACTGGACGGATAATTTAACGTGATAGGCTAAAAATAGATGTAATATTAATAATCCTAGCTGATTGTCAAATCGGCCTACTCCCAGACTTGGTTCTTTCACCTGCCAAAGACGGGGTTTAGAACACAGACGACAATTCTCGGGGGTATCAAAACGGTGAATTAATTAGAATAAACGTACGTAATAATCGTTCCTAGAAATCGTAATTTTGAAACTAATTGATTTAAATCAAACTAAATGATAATCACCGCTAGTCACTGGCAGGCAGGAACTGGCGGGTCTAGAATCAAGTCGGCAAAATTTAAGTTATTAAATTAAGTTATTGAAAATTGAATTTGGAAACGGGGATGCGAATATTAAAAGTACATCGTATATCGTATATAGTCGTATATCGTAGCAATGTGATTAACTAATATAGCTAACCTTCGGTAAACGAATTATCGATGATCGTCAGATCGTGCAAGCTTGGGTAACGGGCGAATGTAACGACGAAGTTACTTCGAAGACGGCATACGAACAAATAAACATGTCTTGGAGTAAAATCCTTCGTTCTTGCCCGCTCGAGGCTTACGCACTCAAGCGGCGAACTTAAGTACTACTGGACAACAGCTGATCGAATATTCACTTGTTGAGCTGGTCTAGTTTTCGTCTGTGTCTGTCAACAAACAAACACCAGTTTTGGGGTTATGTCGTCGTCGTCGGTGATAAATATTTGTAAAATCGGTCGGTTAACTTTATTTGGTGAAATGGAGTGCTATTACAAATAAATATGCAGTTGTAGGTGTGTGTATGTACTAGGGATGGACGAGATTGGATTTTTAGTTCGAGACGAGATGAGACAAGATTTTTTATTTCTCATCAAATTTTGAGACGAGATCGAGACGGGATTTCTCTTCTCATTCACAACGGGAAATGCACGTTCAAAATTTTTACCTGATTTTGTAACATTGTTAGATGACTGCTTAAATACAAAAATAATGATAATAGGCAAGAATATTTACAATCTTTTATTAAAAAACATCAGCATAACATTTTGTTTTATTAATCACGCCTACGATTAGGAAACATAGTGATATCAGTTAGGATAGAGTTCAACTTATCCTAAAATAAAATAAATCATAAAATAAAAGCAATATTAATTTTTATAAAATAGTTACTTGTTTTGACTTTTTATAGTAATAAAACATTCCTTACATTGCTTACACTTAACAAAACTTCTCAAATGTTATTAAAGTAATATTATTCAAATAATTAAAGTAATATTTACATTTAAAGAATTAATTAAATAAGAACGCCTTCGCAGAGGAAACGCAACTACAACACGCTCCTGTATTGCGGGTATTGCATTGACTTTCTGCAGGCGTTTTTAATTTTTTTTTTTCTTCTCGTCTCGATAAAAATCTCAGCCAAAAACAAATCTCGTCTCGTTTAACGAGATTAAAAATTTCCCGAAAATTTCCCGAAATTTCGAGACTTGACCATCCCTAGTATGTACTTAACTGTAATTAAAAATAGGCCTACGTTCTTTGGCCCATAGCCCAAGCTATGGCCAACACATAGGCCTAGGATTAGGCTATTGTGGATAAAAATTAGGTAAGTTCTGGTGTTCATTTCTTCGTAGTACGTTTTACCCCCCTTCAAATTTGGTACCTTACACATGAACAACATTAATGAAAAAACACAAAAGATTGACTCAATCAAAAATCTCAGGCTCGCACTCTGGTTAAGATAATCTTAAAACCCTTCTAAGACTTTTTAAAGAGGTATGGAAATAAAAAAAAAAATGTCTTTTAGCGAATTTCCCCTATAGGGAATAAGCTATTACCGTAGTACTCATGGTAAGACCTGGACCCGGGACTGATTTACTTTTTCGTTTTGAGGTCCCTAGAGACCAAAAACACCATCCGTTCAAATTCATACATATATATATATTTATATATGTGTCCGTTAGCGCGATAACTCGAGCAAAAATCATCCGATTTTGATGAAGTTTGGTACAAACGTGTAAACCTACGTTTATTCAAACGAGTTCGCGAACCAGCATGATCGGACTATGGAAACAGGTGTCTATGGGGGGTTTTATGGGGCAAAAATGGGGTTTTCCCATTTTTGACCCTAAAAACTTGCATTTTCGTTCCAAACAATTTTGTAGAGCTTAAAAAAACAAATAATTTAGTATATTGAAGCGTTATTATGCGCCTAATGGTTACGGAGAAAATTTCAAAAAACTAAATTTAAAATTCCTATGTTATTCTTACGGAAAATAAGTAAACAGTTGTAAAGTGTGCTTGTTTATGATCATATTTTGATCAAATTTGGGAAATGCATTATTCCAGGGTGGCCAATTGAATATAATAATGGTGTGAATTTAGATCCACTTCCTTTAGCTTGTGGATCTGCCAAGAGGGTCGCCAAGTTGACCCGTGAACAAGGGGAGTCGAATAATAACGACTCAGTGAATTACGGTTCAACAATTTATTAATTTTTAAACAAAATAACCCTTTACACATATGCTAGCCTTAATTGTTATTAGTACCCAAAATTATGAAATGGTACATTACTCAAGACAGCAGGGGTGGGCTGGGCCATCTTAAGAATTAGCTGTACAAATTTTTACTCCCGTCTGCAAAACCATTAACACAAGCTTTAAATTAAAATAAAATTAAAATTACAAGACACCTGTTGGAAGAATTATAAAAGAGATAAAACATTGATTCGGATTTCTTATAAAGTGTTCAATACAAAAATCATTCATTGAGTTAAGTTACATTAAATTGAATAAAAATTTACGTTTGACCAGAACCTAATATTAAAGTTATATAATTCTCATTTTAAATTTATATAGCTCTCAAAACTCTTCTGTTGTTTTAATATTCAAGAAATTACAAACTCAAACAGGCTAACTGACCACACGTGGCAAACGAAATTTAACAGTTAATAAAGACTTGTACAAATTGGTTAATTATTTTTTTCAACTAAATTGTAGCACCTGAAAAAGCATTTTAAACATGAATATAAAAATCCTTAAACTAAATAAATGTAACACTTACATTATCACAGGAGCCATCCAAACTTGTAGCCAGCACCCCCACTAGTACAATGATATGATTTTAAAACCCAACGGACAGATAAGCACTGCCGACCTCGGCCACCGCAGGTGGCGCTAAGGGCGGGAAATTCAAATAAATTAAAATAGGCTTTAAAATTTCACAACACACTATGTACTGGCATAAAATTTTTCCCTGCTTTTTAAAATTTTACAAGCCTATAAAAAAATAAACTCACTTAGCTCATCTAAACATTACAAATTTTCATCTAATAAAACCAAACATAATTTATACATTTTCTCATTCAAAGAAATCAAAGTTTTCCGACGCAGGAGCGTCCGTTTGAATTACAACTACTTGGCGGGCAACAATCGCAATAGTTCTAGATTTCCTCGTTGCCGTCCGCCAGGGTACAGAGCGCTGCAATCGCTCGGTCTAACATATGACAGGTTACAACAATAATCAAGATAAGACAACTTAACTTTCACTCTGAAAAATACGGCAAACTGATCATAAAATAAAGTCAGACATTTTCATTTAGAACCTCTCAGAGCAAAGTATTACATTTCTTAACCTAAATACATGCTGTTAGTACCCAAAACTTACTTTAAACTAACTTTATATGACCTAGTATTCCTGAAACGAACCACAAAATTGTAGAAAAAGCTAAGTCAAACAAAATTTAACATTAAACTCTCATTTTCCTGTATATTCCCAAAAGTGCGCTTAAGGCGAAACCAAAATGGAGCATAATAATAATGTTTGTGTACATACAGTTGCAAAAATAACAAGTGTCAATGTTCAATGTGAAGTACCCTGTGTGTCCCGGGCCACGTAAGTACCAAGTGTGAAGTGTGAAACTAAATAAAAACAGAAAATGAGTGTGAACATTCGTACCACAGACGCGCTAACCTTTTGCTAATCCCATTCATAAAACATTCATCCCTATCGCTCACTGATTCATCCATGCTCGATCATTAACGAG